CCCCCCCCGCGTCTCCAGCTAGTCAGCTGCTGAGGAAACCCATGCTTGCCCGCTGCTGGCTGTGCCCACACCGAGCTGTAGGCAGCCATAGAGGCAGCTCAGTTTGACAGAGCCGAATGAGCTTGTGCGTCCCGTGCCCTCAGTACCCTCCCCCAGGAGGTTTGGGGAAGGACAAGCATCTTCCTGGTCTCGGCAGGGGAAAAGAGGGCCCATGGAAGTGGGGAGGGGAATAGAGAAAATGGAGTCCTAGAAAGTTACTGGGTGTTTACCTCTATGCACACCAGCATCACAGCACACACTCCACCTGCATTTTGCCCTGTGACTGAGATCAGCCGCCAGCGTTACACACAAGTGACCGAAAGGCCCTTTAATTTTCACCTCCGATATATAACCAGGGCCGGCTTTACCTGTCGGTGTTTATCCAAGACGTTGCCGAAGAATCTGTAGGTGTCTGGAAAGCCTTGAGAGCGGGCGCACTCCCTGACACTCACCACGCGGTGCTGCTCTGGGTGAAGGACACGGCCCTGCGGGAGATATTTGTAAAAGGACATAAAAATGCCTCAGAAAATGGTAACAAAAAAAATTATAAAAATTTGCATTTGCTGTTGTACGCATTTCAGAATTGCACCGGCTGTAACATTGCAGGCACACCGCTTGACATACTCCGCTTGCCTGCCTTGGGGATTGGCAGTTCAGACCGCAGAACAATTGGATTCCACTGACAGGTGCAACCCAAATGAAGTTGTAATCGAAGTTTAATTTGATTACCAAGGGAGCTACAAGCAGAAAAACGGTGAGATGCCACCACAATGAAGACAGAACTTTAATATTGCACCTTGTAAGTAGGAGTGACATCCAGGGCCGGATTTACTCTCCCTGCCGCCCCAAGGCCAGGTTCTGCAATACGCCGCCCTAGTGGATATAACCACATTATGAACGCCCAGGGCCGGATTTACTCTCCCTGCTGCTCCGAGGCCAGGTTCCGCAATGCGCCCCCTTCCCACTAACCCACCCAACCCCCCATCAATGGAGAATGGCAACCAGATGGCAAGGTTAGCTCAATTTTTTTTAAAACTATTTAATTTTTTTACTTTATCAACTTTTTATTTAATATAATTTTTTTTTTCTCCACCTAACTTTATTGCTATCACACAGGAGCTAGCTAACAATCCCCTGTGTGATAGCAATCGGAGGTGACGGTTCTCTTTATTGACCCCTGTCACCTCCAATACAGGAGTTCTAGCACAGCTCTCCTCTCACTGTCTACATGGAGCGGCAGGGGTACTTTTACCCTGCAGCGAGGAGAGACTCGGTGCCGGAGTACGAAACCAGAGGAGAGAGGTAAGTGCAGGGGGGGAGGGGAGGAGGCTGCAGACTTCTTACATGTGATCTCGGTGACATCGCCGAGATCACATGTAAACGAACATTCAGCTTCCCTCAGGCCTTGTTCACACCAAATGCAGAGCAGATCCGGTCAGGTTTCTGCACACGCACGCTAGTCTGTTAGATGCGTTTGAAGCGTTTTAGGGTAACATTTTTTTTTTTAAAGTTTAAAATGGCCTTCCAGCGCGTTCCAGGCATTTGGATGTGTTTTTGATGCGTTTGCAGATCCAGAGCAGCTAAAATAGAGCTTGCTGCAGTTTATTCACCTGCTCTGGAACTGCACGCTGCTATGTGAACTGGAGCCAACAATACCATTGAATACATTGGACGCAGCTTTGATCCGGTCTGCACCTGCTCTGCTAACGGAACGCGCTTGGTGTGAACAAGGCCTAACTACATTTAGTCCTGCTTGTGCAAAGCAGGACTAAATGTAGAGAGGGCAACTTACCGCCCGGCACTTCCGCACAAAGACACCGCTACCGCCCCTCTGCGCCCTACCAGACCATACTCCATCCTGATTGCCTCACCTGCTTGCCCATAGGCTCAGGGTTAGTGACTGTTGTGCTGAAGAAGCCATCCCACTCCAGTCTGCCATAGAGGCCGGCCCAGTGATTGTGCCTGTTCCCCGTGTGTGGCAGACACCAGGGAATGAGAGTGTTGAACTGCCGGTC